TGATTCTGTTTTTTTCAAACGTAATTTAGTTTTTTTCTAATGTGATTTCGGCCACTTCTGATTGATTCAGGACATTTCCGCTTTGGCAACTTCCGCTTTGACTTAATGTCATTCTGTTTTTTCAAATTCCATTTTTTCAAATGTTGTGATTTTGTTGTTTTTTTGTGTTTTTTCAAATGTAATTCTGTTTTGTCAAATGCTGTTCATTTACACCTCAGGGCCACCGTAGCTTGTACTACAAAATCTCAACAAAAACAGTCAACAGTAAACTAGTGCAGACACATTTTAGTGTTTCTGTGGCTGCTTTTACCTTTTAGTCTTCATATACAATTTCATAGTGGTTTTCTCACACAGTAAAATTAATTTAAATAGTTAAATAAATGCACAATAAATATGAGATAAATCACAAACCGACTAAATATCTCTGTCATATTACCTTTGTGAACGAACAGCAGCTGACCCTGGTCTATGTGGGCCTGGGTGAAGTTCAGCACAGCCTTCATGGGGTTACTCTTGAGGGCCAGATGTCCATTGCTGGGAGGGGTCACCATGAAGTGGATTTCCTCTGGGGGCGAATCCAGGTCCTGCGCTCTCAGATCCTCTGATCTGATTTCTGTAACTGATGACACCCAAACCTAGAGACAACAGACGGCAGCAGGTGCCATTTGATAAATAGCACCAGATACTTGAGAAGTTTCGCTTGACACAGGCTGAAAAGCACCTGCTTTTCAAATTAAAAGCACAGCTGCAAAGCAAAGACTGATCTCTGTGAGAATTTCATGCTAAAGAGTTTTGCAACTATCCATGTAGTTGTCATTCATCAACTTATACCAGTTGTTTCCAGACGTTTTAGCTTCTGGCTCGCAACATTGTCAGATACTTGCAACCCCATCTTTAGTGAAGTGTATATTGTTTGCTAATATATATATAAAAAAACAATAATAATAATAACACAAATATCCTCAACAACATTTATATTTTGTAACAATTTGGGCAAAATATGCGTTTAACAATTACTTTGTATTTTAAGCTTCATTCTATTCCTGAATGTCACCTTAAGGCCCTCCACTCTGCGTTGATTGAGCCCAGATGATCTGAGCGTGTGCCTTTCATCATTTTCAGCTCTACAGCACATCATCTACCGAAGCAGAAGCGTCACTAACTTGTGCACAGACTGAACAACAACCTAAAGATAAAAGGAATACACTGTGTACTGCTAAAATCTTGGACATCCCAGGACTAAATATAGCCGTGCAGACTGTAGACTGAACTATTTCGGTGTTTCCAGTTTTCCTGCACGCTGAAAAGCCTCAAGCTAACACGAAGTAACAGGAACTCACTGACACACACAGAGAACAAAACTACTGAACCATGCAGAGACCTGACAATAAAGGACGAGCCAGAGGAGCTCCTGCATAACAAGCCATTGTTACTCAGGCAGGTTGTCATTTCACAGTAATTAAAGCTACAGGCTGATAAGTGTTCTAGATGAAACACGATGTGTTGTTCTAAATGATCTTTACTGATATTTGATCACTTTTAGGCCTAAATTCAATCTCAGATTTATTTAATTTAATCTTGCACGCTAAGCTCAAAAAGGGTTGGTTCGACAAAGTACAAAATAACCTGACTTTTAAAATGCCTGGGGTTACAGTAAAACCTTACCATCACACCTAAAACTAAAAAAGTTGTTATAAGTAGAAGCCATTTTGTCAAAGTTCCTTAATTCAATTATATTGTAAACAAACAAAAAAAACAACAACTGTTCATTCTCACATGAAACAACTTCTGCAGAAACAAATGGGCTAATAACGGAGTAATATTAAAAGGATTAAAGCAGATATTTATTACTTTATATCTTTTTGTTATAAAGATTTTTCCCCAAAATATATACAGAGCTAGACAAGGGGTGTCTACATTTGTTGACATTGATCATAAATTTGGGTTGTATTTTTTTTTTTAGCTTCCAAATAACCACTCTGTAATGATCTTAGCTAGCTAAATGCTACCTCAACAATTAAAAAAATAAACAAAACATTCAATAACCATTAAGTCCCCATGATAGACAACTTTCACATTGTTAGTCACCAACTTTTTTGTTTCGAGTCATTTGTTTAAACAGCGAGGGATCGCAGCAACGTCTCACGCACTGTCAAACAGCAGCTCGGCTGCAGGTTCTAAGGAAACTCCCAGCTGCTGCTCTCTGAGAGCTGGTTCATGTGTGAGACGTCAGCAGCTCTGCACAAGTGAGACAAAGTGGGTGGAAAAAGACACACAAGCCGCACACAAGTGTGAGAGCACATCTGCAGGATTGCACTGACTCTCAGAAGCATCACAAAGTCAAAGACTTAGCACGAGTGGCAGAAACACATATTGCCCAGCACCTTTCTAAAGTTTTAGATAGTTTTGACGCACAATCTCATGCAATACTGAGATATCTCACCTAATATGGTACGATCTTCAAGCACTGGAGTACGTGTTGTGAACGTGCAGCTTCTACTCCACCAGATTTGAGCTCAATATCTATAAAACTGAGTTACAGCCATTTTTGTGGAAGCTTTGATGAGCAGTGTGACTTGGGTTGACTCTAAAAGTTAATCAGCTGTAGATGTAAATCCAGCAGTTCCTTTCTCAGAGTTTCATCCCAATTTGTCCAGTGGTTAATTAGATATTTTGCTAACAAATAAGTTTGACTTCAACAGTTAATGCCAAGCTTTCAAGTATGTATAGTGAGCGACTCTCAGCTACTAACACGTCAAATTTTAGCTCAATATTTGTAAAAATTAGCCAAGTCATAGTCCAACAAAGTTCAGCCAGGTCATCTGGACGTGTCTTTTTTTGTTGTTGAGACGTTTCATCCTTCATTCAAAGGACTTCATCAGTTCGAGGAGCCACAAACAAACTCACAGGGGAGAGAGCGGGCCCCAGAAACCATCTTATCACCAGTGAACTGGTTGGTCCAATATGTGAGTGTGTTGCTTGTGGAACTGAGTTTATTTGTGGCTCTTTGAACTGATGAAGTCCTTTGGATGAAGGACGAAACGTCTCAACAAAAACAGAAACCATCCAGATGACCTGACTGAACTTTGTTGGATTATTTACCTGGATTATTGAGCATGAACTTTGATGTTAAGTCATGGTCATTTTTGTGTTCTCTGAGGTCCGTTATGTGTGGATCTCATTTGAACTCGTTTGATTCTATAAAGTTTATTAGTTGTAATTGTCAACCCAAACTTTCTACAGATTCATTAAAATCTGTTCAGTGAATTTTGAAATGTTTTATAAATGGTACAAACCAACCATCACACTTTGTAAAAACATTATCGCTCTGCCTTCAGGCAATAAGAACTACAATGTAAAGTAGCCATTTCCCTCTGAAAACGTAACTTTTTAAGCAGACAAATCAAATCTTGAAATCTCCATCACCGCGTGTGGAAACTGGTATGAAGTGTAAGAGCTGATATTATGACGCTTTGACAATGATCTCAACTGTCCAAGAGACAAAGTTCAAAACATCTTTTCAAGTCATCATTTTTAGGAAAAGCGGGTTTTTCCTACCAGCACTTCCTAATACACTGTTCGGATGTTTCTAATTGTATTATCATGAACTTTAACACTTAAACGCTAACAGAGGCCTGTTGAATCTGAGATAAAAGTTCTTGGGTTTGCTTTAAAATCTTTTCTAACCCTCAGGCAAACTTGCAAGGACATCTACTTTTTGAGAACGTGGCTTCAGTTCCACCTGTAGGTAAGCCTTCTCGCAGGGAATAGAATAATAAATGGAGAATAAAATGGTTGCAGAGGCAGAAGCAATTGTTTCTCTTCTGATGTAAAACACTCCCAAATGCTTCAAGAGAAGCTGTCGGTGCTGATGATGTGCACTGCTTCTATCATTCAGTTTTGTTAAATGGTTTTACGATGTAATGTAATGATGATCATCTATGGTTGGATTTACTGTATCAGACTGGGAAAGCTGGTTCTTACTAGTGTCCTGATATATGAAATGTCCAAAGAGGGCTTACTTGTTTTTGACCATGACTGTACAGATTTGCCTAAAGTGGAGTTTAAACACAACCCCCCAGATGACACGAACAGAGAAGTTTAATTTTAAATGTTCCTTACTGGAACACAGGTCTCAATTTGCACTTGAAAAGGTCATAACCAACCACAGTCGTGACAGACTTCCACACAAGAGCAGTCGTGCGTTACTCTGGTGGAAAACAGCCACACTTTGAGTAATCCGTTAACAGGAAGTCACAGCAGGACGGATGAACAGAGTAAGAGTGAGTCATCAGATTAAAAGAAACAACACATGAGATCAATTAGCACTAAAATACCCCTGGAGTCAAGATCAGCTCCCAAAACGTGGCAGACTGATCATCGCAAACATCTTCACCACACTTTAATCGTGTTTCCATTTTTGTGTCAACTGATAGAACTCAACTATTTTGATGTTTTAATGCTTAAATAGGCTTTACCTGCAGAAAACGTTTAACCAGAAAAAGTGAGCGTCTTAACTAGGCAGCTCTTTCTTTCTCCTATAGACCCATAAAAGGACAAAGTCAGCAAATTAATATGACGTATATTTTTTAGTTCAGTGGTATTAGGAACAACTATTAAATACGTACTGAAATTGCACTTTTGTGCTTCAAAATATGCAAATAATAACATCAGATAAGACTCGGTCAACTCAGTTTGCCTCTATATTTTTTCTTTAGTCGTCCTCAGAGCCCCCCGAGGGTCCTGTGTCCCAGTTTCAGAACTACAGAAGATGATCATAGATTATTGTTATAAATTCTTATGACAAGAAACTAAGAATTTGCCTGCTGGTGTTACTCCTCAAAGTGGCTCAAAAATCCTACCAAGTTGAAGTTTCTACTGTTTTTAGTAAAATAATAATAATAATTATTGGAGGATAATTCATCTGTTTCCTCAATTGGCTGAGTTTCTGTTTTCAAGACAGACTAGTTCGTTTAATTCACATTTTTATTTTATTAACGACTGCACTGATCAGTGCAAAGTTGCCAAGACACTTATATAGAAAATTCCTGAGGCACAGCGGATACATTAAAAAATGTATTTTTATACGGATTCAAAAAATACTTTTAAACAATCCAAGTTCATTTCATGAAGAGAAATAAAATGAATTAAAAATCAGTACATCTACAGCTCAGTCTCAGATGGAAAGTGATGAGCAGTGACAGACAGCCACCTTGTGGCCAATAACATTTACTATTTCTTTTTAAACACTTTAATCTTTAAAGTCTTTAAACTTTAGTCTTTAAAATACTTGAATCACTTTAGACTTACTACAAAGTAAAACATCAGTGTTTGTGATCATAACCACTATTAAAGAAGTTTTCCAATTATTTTTAATGCCACAAATCTGATATTTTCTAAAGTTGTAGGATTAAGGAGACTTGGTCTTTTGATGATTTTTAAACACACATTTTATTTCAATCTTTGTTTTCAGCTGGATCTCAAACAACTTTAGCCACTAATGCTAACTGAGCTGCACTTGTATTAATAGATAACAAACATGTCAGCATTATTCTATGGTGGTGACGAAATTAAATAAATTAATAAATAATGAAATAAGTCATTTAATTGTGTATCTAATAATTTAATTGTGTATTTAAATTCAATTCAATTCAATTAAAAAATACTGTATTAATCCCAGAGGGAAATTATATGTTGTTGTAACTCATCCTGGTTTCATTAATGAGTTGTTATAGATGCTGATGGCTGTGGGCAGGAAGGATCTCTTGTAGCGGTCTGTCCTACAATGGATTTGAAGAATCCTCTGACTGAAAACACTTTGATGTTGTATGACAGTCTGATGAAGAGGATGCTGAGGGTTGTCTATAATGTTCTTCATTTTATGAAGAATCCTTCTTTGAACAATCATCTCCAAAGGTTCTAGAGGAGTCCCCAGAACTGAGCCAGCCTTCTTTATGAGCTTGTTGATCATTTTTAAGTCACTTGCTCTGGTGCTGCTCCCCCAGCAGATGATGGCAGAAGAGACAGCGCTCTCTACAACAGACTTATAGAAGATATGCAGCATCTTGCTGCAAACGTTGAAGGACTTCAGCTTCCTCAAGAAGTACAGTCTGCTCTGTCCCTTCTTGTAGACGGCTTCACTGTTGCATTTCCAGTCCAGTCTGTTGTCCAGGTGAACTCCAAGGTATTTATACTTCTCAACCACCTCCACTTCTTCTCCCATGATGAAAATAGGGTTGGACCTGTTCCTGATTCTCCTGAAATCTACAATCATCTCCTTTGTTTTGTTCACATTCAAGATGAGATGATTGTTTCCACACCATGCCACAAGGCAGTCCACCAGTTCCCTGTACTCAGCTTCTTGTCCATCTCTGATACACCCGACCACTGCAGAGTCATCAGAATATTTCTGCAGATGACAGGAGTCTGTTTTGTACTGGAAATCTGAGGTGTACAGAGTGAAAAGGAATGGTGAGAGTACAGTCCCCTGTGGTGCTCCTGAGCTACTGACCACCTGGTTAGACACACAACCCTTCAGTCTCACAAACTGTGGTCTGTCTGTCAGGTAGTCTTTGATCCAGGCGATTGTTGAGGCCAATTGTTGAAGCCTCCACCTGAGTCTTCTGGAGTTTCTGACAAAGCAAATCAGGATGGATTGTGTTAAATGCACTGGAGAAATCAAAGAACATGACTCTCACAGTGCTGTCTGCCTTTTCTAGATGACAGTGAGTTTGCTGAAGCAAGTGTATGATGGCATCTTCAACTCCAAGTCCACGCTGATAAGCAAACTGCAGTGGGTCCTGATATGTGCTTGTTTGTCTAGTCAGGTGGGTCAGCAGAAGTCTCTCTAGGACCTTCATGATGTGGGATGTCAGGGCAACAGGTCTATAGTCATTGAGGACTGATGGGTGTGATTTCTTTGGCACTGGAACAAGACAGGATGTTTTCCACAACACTGGAACCTTCTCCTGGGTCAGGCTAAGGTTGAAGAGGTGCTGCAGAACCCCACAGAGATGCTCTGCACAGACCTTCAGGACTCTGGGACTGACACCATCTGGACCTGCAGCCTTATTCTGGTTCAGTCTCTCCAGCTGCTTCCTCACCTGACTTCTGGAGACGCAGAGGGGGGAGGCAAAGGAGGTATCAGCATCTTCTGATTTAGTTGAAGACCAATATGTAGAAGAAGGGTCCATGACTGAGGTGGTGGATACAGTATTTGAGGTGTGACAGGACAGCCTTGGGTCAATGGAGGGTGGTATGTATGTTTGGCTGTGGGCAAGAGAGGAGGATGCTGAGCTTGTTCCTGAACTGAACCTATTGAAGAATGTGTTCAGTTCATTGGCTCTGTCCAGGCTTCCATCCTTCTGATCCTCTTTCTGCTTGAAGCCTGTGATCTGTTTCATCCCTGACCACACCTCTCTGATATTGTTCTGTTGGAGCTTGCTCTCCAGCTTCTTCTTGTACACCTCCTTGCTGTTTCTTATCTTGACTTTTAGTTGCTTCTGTGTACTCCTCAATAATTCCCTGTCTCCCTCCCTGAAGGCTCTTTTTTTCTGGTTTAGCAGTTCCTTCAGTTCAGTGGTGATCCAGGGTTTGTTATTGGGGAAGCATCTCACTGTTCTGGTGGGGATGGTGTTGTTTACACAGAAGTTTATATAGTCGGTCACACACTCAGTCATGGCATTGATGTCCTCTCCATGTGGCTGGCACACTGCATCCCAGTCTGTAGCCTCAAAACAACCCCGCAGGGCTTCTTCAGCTTCCGTTGACCATTTTCTCACTGTTCTCTTTATTGCAGGTTGCCTCTGAACAAGGGGTTTATATTTTGAGCAGAGAAACACACGATTGTGATCTGATTTGCCAAGAGAGGGTCTTGCTTTAGCAATGTATGAATCCTTGACATTTGCATAAAACAAGTCCAACGTTTTGTTTTCTCTGGTAGAGCAGCTGACAAACTGTTCGAATGTCGGAAGTGTAGCAGAGAGAGAGGCATGATTAAAATCCCCAGATATTGCAACAAACGCACTAGGGTGTTGTGTCTGTAGCTTAGCAACCTCGGAGCTGATGACATCACACGCAGTCTCAGCAACAGCATTGGGTTGAATGTAAACAGTTGCCAAAATAACACTGGTGAACTCTCTTGGCAAATAATATGGACGACAACTTAGTGCTAACAGTTCAATATCTGGACTGCAGAGACTACACTTCACAGTAACATGTCCAGGATTAAACCATCTGTTGTTCACAAGCACTGCCAACCCACCTCCTTTCCTTTTGCCACTCCTCTTTAAATCTCTATCTGCTCGTATGCTCAGAAAGCCTGGCAATGAAACGCTGGAGTCGGGGATATGATCCTGCAGCCATGTCTCAGTGAAACACATAATACTGCATTCCCGATACTCTGGATGGGTCCTTGTTAGGGCTTGAAGTTCATCCAACTTGTTTCCCAGCGATCTCACATTGCCTATCATGATCGATGGAAGAGATGGTTTAAATTGCATTCTTCTCTCTTTCTCCCTCTTCTTTGCTCCTGCTCTGCATCCACGACGCCTCCTTTTCAACTCATTTGGGATTTGAGGCTGTAGTTGAGATATTATTTGAGATTTGGAAATGTTAATCAGCTGCTCCCGGTTGTAAAAAACCTTGTTGTTATGGTTACGCATCATAACAAATGTCCAAAAGCGAAGATATTTCTGTAAAAATCCTTCCAGCTGCACAGCATCTGACACCAGAGGAAATAATCATCCAAAAAAAGCGATTTATATCCAGAAAAAAGAGGAATTAAAGTTATCAAAAGTAATATCTCAGAATGAAAGTAACAGAGCTACTCCAACATGCAGCCACCTTGAGCGGCGCAATTCTAGAATTTAATGATGTATTTAATATTTAAATGATACATTTCATTATTATGTATTTATTTCATTTTGTCACATACGGTCCTCCATATTATTCAGCCCATGCACTTTAAATGACTTAATGTTATGCATATATTTCTAATGTATACAATGATGACTGCTGCCATCAGAGGCAAAATGACCACTTTTTAGTTTTGTGGTTAGGCTTCTAATGCAATGAAGGGACAGGAAACTTACTCATTTAGCAACTTTTTTCAGACTTTGCAATTTTGCCACTAAACATTCAACATATTCTAAACAAAATTTTAACATATTTTAGTTTTTGGCAATATTTTCCAAATGTTAGAGGTTTTTCTGCATTTGATTTAAAGTTTTGTATTAAAAAGAGTCCTAGGAGGAGCTTCCCCATTAACTACACATCATTGTTGCTCCCTCTTATAACTACTACTATCAACATTTTAATGTGTATTTGTTTAAGTTTCAACACCTAACTGCCTCCACAGAGTTTCTGATGAGGTCAGTGCACCTCCAAATATAAGTCACTGTTTGCTGTGCTGCCAGTCCTCTGAGACCCTCCTCCACATAGCAAGCATAGTTTCCCTCCTTGAACCGGCCAGTCTGCCATGGCAACATGCAACACTGACCCCGTGAAAGTCTTCTGACAGTAAGCTACAGTGCCACTCCTGCTGGGTAAAAAAAAAGTGTCAAGAGTTTAAATTTAGAGCTGGAGTGCAGACTCACCCTGAGGACCCTGTTGGTTGTAATAACAGGAGGCTCATCATTGACAGCAGTAACCTCGATGTAAACTGTCCGGGCTTCACTTTGCTTTCTCAGGCCTGTGTCGTTGGCCACCACAGTGAAATTGTCAGCTTGGGTTTCGCTGCCGTCGTGGACGTAGTAAAGGAATTCATGTTCCACCTGGGTACAACCATAGAAATGATAATGTAGACTAAAACTGCAACTAGAGCTTTAAAGAAGTCACACAGACACAACACAAGAGACTTGGCATGACTTATGGTGCATGTATTAACAAAATAAAATTTGTGAGGCATTCTAGGAATAAATTAGAGCCATAATAATAACATAAAAATGGAATAAAGTGACAAAATTATGGCTTAAGCAGAATAGAATGTAATTTCTTAGATGCAGTGATTCAATAAAGAAAGAGTCAGGTTACAGAGAACGTAAACAAATATCACTGTCTGCCTACATACTATTGTTCCACGTGCAACAACTGTGTGCTACTATTTTTGTTTTGTCAGCTCAAGGAGGTTCTCACCTGTCTCCTGGTGAAAGTTGTTATGGGCACACCAGGGTATTGAGAGTGCTCTATGTGACCATGATGTGGCGGTTCAGTCAAAATATAGAGGAAATTAATCCCAGAAAAGTGACGATTGGTGACTTTGAGCACATCCTGGGTCAGTGCCTTTGTGGCACCCTCAGTCAGAGTGAAATTAGTGACGTGAAGTGGGATATGGAGAGGGATGATGTCAACAGACACCCTAATATTGTGAACGTCAGTGACCCCATTGGTGGCGTCGAGAACAAAGGTGTCGTTCACTTTGTTCGGCTCCACCTGCACATACTGGATGTTCCCGCTGTTAATGTCGTCCTGGGTAAATGTCTTGACAGGCAGCTGTTTGGTTCCGATGTAGCGCTCCTCGGCTTCTACAAAACGCCTGAGAAAGCCGTGAGATGGGGCTGCCCTGACTGCAAACGCAATCTCAGACGGCAGGTTGTCTTCATGTGTGACCTGCAGCGAACGGAAAACATCCAGTGGTGAAATCTGAAGTCGCCAAGGCTTCTCATTTCTTTGGATTCTTTTTATAACTTGACATTAATGTGGAAACAAACACTCAATGACACTTTTAATGTCAATTAAAGGATTTATGAATATGCATCCTTTTTTTTTTTTTTTTTTACAATTTGGAAAATCTGTAAAAAACATTTTAAACAAACATATTAATAAATCAAGACTCATCTTAAAATAAAAGTCTTGATATGAAATATTTTCACTGAACAATCACCATGAACAGAACATGAATGATAGCGTTCCCTTTTTTATTTGTGATGTACAACTTTATAAAAACAGAAAAACATTTAATAAAATGCTCACCTCCAGTTTAGTTTCATCAATCTTCAGTGGTTTTCCCTCTTCTACCAGTAAAAGCTCTAGATGTTGCACAATGGGTGGTCTCTGATGACTTTCCAGATAAACCTTCACACTGACTCTTTGTGCCAGCTGAAGACCTTTAGCTTTCACTGTCAGGTTAAAAAAGTCTGTCAGATGTTTGCTGTCATTGTGTCGATAGGCGATCCGTCCGTTCTTCAGGTCAGACTGTGTGAATGACCCCACGGTTGTTTTATTCAGATAAAGAGCTCCATACCTGGGAGCCTCATCCAAATTGAAAACAACCTCTTTGTCGTCTCTTATGTCCAAATTTGATACAACACTGAAATTGCTGGTGGAAAAAGTCACTGCTTGTCCTTTTTGAACCAACAGGCCCGTGTTATTAACGACCTTCAAGAAAGGATCATGAGCACTGACGTCCAAAAGGCTCGATACGAAATGTTTTCCATCTGAGACGAACAGCACAAATCTGCCAGTGCTCACACCTTTGTGAATGAACAGCACCCGCCTTTCCTCCAAATCCTTCTGTTGAAACTGGAACAGCCGATGAGTGGTGTCATTGACTAGCACGAGGTCTCCCATTGGGATTCCACGTCGAGTGTAGATTAGCTGGCCATCATCAAAGTCCGAGTCGGCATCATGGTAGCGCAAATCTTCCGTAGTGAGCAACTTCTGTCCATCCCTTACTACATGGAAAACTTTATCAATGATGCGTATCGGCTTTTGGTCATTCAGTAGCTGAATAGATATGTTAAATGTTCCTTCTTTGGAGCCAATTTCATCTTCCTCAATGGAAGACTTGAATCCTTGGCTGGTAGAGGCGATGAAAGTAAATTCATCTTGAGTTGTTTCACTGTCGTCATGGATATACATTAACCGCTCCTGCAATATATCCTGATTACTAAAGGTGAAGATGTTGTCATAGCTAGCATTGGAGTTTGACTGACTAATGCGGGCTAGCTTTCCATGTTTGGGACTCCTTATGACTGTGTAGAACATGTCCTTTGTATTCAAACACTCTGCAAACAGCTCGTCTTTAGTGATGAGTTTACTTTCTCCCTCTTGAAGTGAGAGTCCTTGATTTTTCACAAACACAGTGTTGACATCAGCTTTGATGGAAAACTGAAAATCATAATTTTCGGACTGAGCATGTTTAGAAACCAGCTGAAATTTGAACCTGTCAGTCGTGTCTTCATGAGGTCTATCAGTAAGTTCATAGAGGACCTTTTTATCTGTCAAATCTTTCTGGCTGAAGGTTGAGTTCTTTGTTAACACTGCTGTATTCAGCAGGAGCTTCCCCTTTTTTGGTGTAGTGAGAACCCGAAAATACAGGTCATCATCGGAGAGGGCCACACCTTCAGCTCTGGCATAAAGGCACTCAGAGCTTAGTGCCACTTTCCTAACTTTATCCATGTTCATCATAACATTCTTCACCAGTTGGTACTTTATCCAGCTAACAGTAATTGGGAAAACTATTTCAGTATTTGCTCTTGCAGCTATGTTAACTTTGCACTTGAAATAATCGGTGACATTGGAAGTTTGGATGTCTTGAAAGGTGTTAACATATCTAAAACGCTCTTTTTCCAAAAGTCTTTGTGAAAATGATTCAGTGCGCCTCCATTCCCCACTTGAGTGAAGTCTCTGGAGTTCTCCAAACTGTGGGGGTTCAATAATATCGTATCGGATTTCTACAACTTGTTTCAAAGCATTGGTTTGCACTGCCAATTGCTTTGAACCAATTATAGCCGTCTCTCCTTGAATGATCTCAAGCCCAGTGTTGTTAGCAATGGTATATTGCAGTGCTACAGCCATGACTCTTAAAACCACAGTGTTGCTGACCTTTTCCCCATCACGAACCCTGAGAACTATCCTTGAGTTTCTCACCCCTGTGTGAACATAGAACACCCTTAATTCATCCAAGTCTGTATATGCGAATGAGGTCACCGCATTGCCAGGGTTGCTCTCTATTTCCAAATAGCCAGCATCTGCATTCAGATTTCCAAGCACAGAGAAGACAAGATCGGTGAAGTTGCTGTCTATATCTGTGGCTTTCAGAACATCTGGGGTGAGAAGTTTCTTAGTGTTCTCCAACAGGACAAAGAGATTTCCTTCAGGAAGACTCAGTTCAGGTGCATCATTGGTGGGTGTCACAGTTATATTGTAATTGTATAATTTGTTGTCCTTCAGATAATCAGGAACTTGCTTTCTACTACTACAAAAAATAGAAAACACGAAGAAGTCATCTGGTTCCTCTGAGCCTCCATGGACGTACATCACTCTCCCATGCCAAAGATCCAGCATGCTGAAGGTGTTCTCCTCTTGGTCCTGATCAACATCGAGCCTTATCTGACCTCTGATTGGTTGCTCTTGAATTCTGAACATGATTTGAGACTGTCGAATGCCAAGTTTCCTAAAGTCCAAGAAAACCTTAATGTGTTTGGCCTCAAGGGATGCTCGACCACCCTCCTGGACCACAAGGTTTCTAAGCTGCACAAAATTTGTGCCGTATCTTCGGTCCAAGCCAACTGCAAGTGTGGACATATGAAGGGATGGTGTTGGTGTTACCAAATGAAAAAGGGGTTTCTGTGTACTTGTGGGATTCACAGAGGCTGATGGCTCTGGTGGTTTCTCTGGTTCACAACCAACTGAGATATCTTTGGTGACTAATACATTGGAGAGACCCATCTTAACTCTATTTACTTGAATATCCTTTAAACATCCTTTAAAGGAACCTCCTCTGACACGTCTGCCTGATACAGAGACGAGCCCTACCTTTCTGACTTCTGATCTGGTGCCATCATCAATACCTCCAACAAAAAGAGAACCTTTGAGATGAATCCTCTTTAAATGGGAGCTAATGCTGCTTTTTACTATTTCTCCATCAACTGTTAAGTCAAGACTTTTGGAAGTAAAACGCAACTTGACAGAATGCCATTGTCTGTCATTAATGAATGTTTGTGAACGTAACTCGGTTTTGACTCCACCTTTCCCAACAATGGCCACAGGCAAACCTTCCTGGATCTCCAGCGCAACAAAGCCCCCTTCCCTGGCTGAACTGTAGAGAATAATTCCCTCTTCGGCTGAAGTGTGCACAACACACTGAAATATAGCTTCTTGATGAGTACTCCAAGTTGGAAGAGAAACATAAGCCCTAGAACTGAAGAAACTGACAGGATCTTCCTCTCCAGCAAAGAACTGGGGACTACAGCCTAAAGACACTTCATAGACATATTTGTATCCAGTATATGGTCTCAGTGATGACAGCAAGTCGTGCTCATTGAAGACCACTTCGTCCATGCAGCCTCGAAAGCCAATTAAATCCCTAGGTAGATACATTTTATCTAACCCCCCTGAATTTCCAATATAAAGACCATCAATAATGTTGAGATTGTGATAAGGACCTGGCATTTCTATGCTTGTGTGTGAGTTTTTGTCAACAGTCAGAGTGACATTTGACCGCACATGGTGGACTTCTATAGAATGCCAAGCCAAATCGTTGAGCTGGATGCCTCGGTCTGATTCTAGCACTTGCTCTCCTGATCCAAGGTCCAGTTTAACCTAAGAAGCAACAAAAAAGTCAATTAAAATATGCTTTAATACATAAAAACTGGATAAATGTATACAGTGCCCAAAAAGAAATGAAGTTAAGCTTTAAATACAACAAACTGTGCAGAAGCAGAGATATTGTTCACCTTTTAGGTGGTTTAAGTCTTTGAATGACAGAAATGGTCGGTGGATTCACAATTTGAATAGAGACCGATTTACTTTTTAAAAAATATGCACAGTATTCATGGTCCACAAACATAAAAAATATTGAATTTTAGTGATTTTAAAACCTCTAAACCTTCCCTTTAACACATTTTTATTTCTGTCTTCTAAAATAATGACAGTTCTCACAATAACAGCATTTAATGAACTACAAAGAAGATAACTGTGTTAGATGTTTCACTCACTAAACATGAGCTGTAAATAAGTCTGCATGCTTTGAGCACTATTTTATTCAAACTATTTCCATGCCAGGGGACATCCTTACAAAGGTACAGTAGACATTGGCTCATGTTTAAAATGTGGGACTTAGAAACAAATCATAATCATCAATCAAAATAATAGTTATACTTTTAAATTAAATGTATATAATCTTAACTTTTTCCACTGTACCAAATAAGTAGTTGCTTTTACAAAATAGGACATTATATCTTGTATTAATTTAAAAAAGTATAAAATGTATATTATGACACCCGGGGAAATAATTATAGGATTCAGACTGTTTATGAAGTCACCTGTTTTGATAATATTGAGCTGTCTGTGTTTTAGAACAGGAAGGGCGCTATTATCTATTTGCCCTGAGCCACAACCACCGAGCGCTACAGCACTACCTCAAACTAATGCTTCATTAGGATGACAAGCTTGTCAAGGCTTGCTGCTGGGCTAAACGTGCACAAGTTTCCAGGGAGCAACACTCATGTCTGACTCACACAGAGAGACCCCAAGCTCAAAAAATGATAAACACTGCTGGTTTAAAGCTCAGGAAGCACAGTTCACTCCTTCTACTCACTGAAGTGCAACGTTTCAACACATTTGTCAGTATGATTCAACACCACTGGTGAAAATTTAACAAGTATAAGCTTAGTCGTGAGGACTTCCAAGTTTAAAGTGCAGAAGATATCACTTATGTCTTACGAGTTTCCTGAGAAATCTTTAGAAATGGGTACAAGATGAGTATCAATGTGATTTGGAAACAAATTTAAATATATATATTTTTTTTTTTACCTAACACAAAGTTTCACTTGAAATTAATACTGTTTTTGAGAAATACTGGCAATTGAACTGTATTTTAATTATAAATTTAGTAACAAAAGAAATATAAACATTTAGGTTCTGTGACCAGCGATGTCAGTTGTCTAAGATTAAGCTACAACAACAAAACCTGCTGGTGTAATATGACTAAATAAGTGACTTTTGGACACAGTTAATGTCAACGTACAATTCATGAAACTGCTTGTGATTACCCATTTTCAACCAATCAAGCTTTAGACGCCATTTTGATTAAACCTTTTGATATTATATGAAAAGAATTGCAAACAATGCATACAATAGAAATAAAATCACGAGTTATTTCAAGAGCTAGTTTAAATATTCAGCATGTTTTGGTTTCTGAGGCATTTTTTGTTCTCTGAATGTTGGGACGTGAACTTTTAGTCAAATATGTTACAGCTTCTCAAAATTTACACACAGACTTGTGAAAACCTTTTTTTTTTTACAGTTCATACACTGTTTGTTGGAGTGAATAAACCTCATTGACTAACTCATTTAATTAAAATAAGAAAACGAATCCCCGGTCTCCACTGAACTGAGTAACACACCACGCCTGTCTGTGTGCATTACTGTGCTGACAGACAGACACTGACAACCAAGACTAACCCACAGCTTACAGTGGTCAGTGTTTGTGTGTCCATAGTGCACACATTCAAGCACAAGGATGTGTGTTTTCTGCGTGCACTGTGCTCTCATATATGCATAAATACATATGCTCATGCACTGTGGCCATGGATGTACCCACCTGCAGGCGACCAGCGTGAAGCTCCAGTAGGAAATAGTTGGTCTGGCCAGCAGCGAGAAACAGCAGGCCGTTGGTGCTGGAGGTTCGAAAGCGAACGCGGAGCACGTTATGGTCCGACGACTCCGTGGCCTTGAGCTGGATGAAGCCATCACCATAGAAGGAAGCTGCAGGAGACATTAAAGGGTTTTATTTCAAAAAATGAATACAAAGTTGTAGGAAAAATGTGTTCAAATGCGGCGTTCACTCCTTCTTGCAGGCAATATTCAAACTATAATAATTCTGAGGCAGAACTGGAACTGAATGTACAGTAGGAGTGACCACAGTAACAACACAAACACAAGTCAAGCAGTCTTAATACAGCCAGTATTTGACATTTAGATATGAAAACCAGGCTGGTTGTTCTTTACAAGCAACACAGAATGCACACACATCTGTAAGCCTTAAAACACACTGTGCAGAACCCTGAGAAAAAAGGATACAAGATTTATTAACAGTTCATGGTAAGCCAGACATATGAGCTTTATGTGCTCAGTCATGTATTCAAGACAGGTTGCAGGTTTAGGCCTTCCACTACAGAATGATGTGCACTGTAACAGAATTGCAAGTTATGGTTCGTTTACATTTGTAGCTTTGGCAGAAAGTTGTTTGTGGACTGTCCAAAGCTGTAAAGACAACATATGCAATGTTTAAGGTATCTGACTTTAATGCCATAATAGTAGAACTGAAGAAGCGGATGTGGCGGCGGCGGCTTAGGGGTGTCAAACATGTTCGGGCCTGCTCTGCCTTGACAGCAACCGTCAACTTGAACATAAAAGGTTCTGACGTCCCCACATTGTCTGTGGCCTCTTGTTCTGGAAACAGCATGGCAGACGAACCCAGCTGTTTCTTCTTCAACACTTCCCTGCCATTTTTCATCGCCCTGTAATCTGCAGTAACATGCTCTGAAGTGTTCTCACATGAGCCTCATGCCCAGGCACCACCAGTTTTTAATGAGCTCCCGAGTAAAAAAATAAATAAAGCAAAGGTCAGCAAACATCGTTGCCTCTGTGAAGAAACGTGCCCGTTCCACGTTTTTGAATTATTTGCAGTTCACGACCCTGGGGCACGCAGCGAACGGGGTCAGAGAAACTCACTAGACTGCATAAAGTTAACACGAGTGCATGCTCTAGATTTTAATCCTTAAAGGGGTTAATGGACTACTTTGTAGTTAATCTGATCAATTCCAAACTGTGTAGTATCAATTAACACCATTTGATCAGTGACACATGTACATCAACACTAAACGGATATCAACAGTAATCACTCAATGGGAGATAATGCTGTGCAGAAAAAACATCTTGTACAGTGCAAAACTTAGTAATGCCAAGAAATATAAAAATGCATATTTAATTGGGATGCACGATATTATCGGCATGGTATCGGCCGATATTAGCGTTAAAATTCAATATCGGACATTTCATTAAAATAACTCGCCAATATAAAAGGCGCTGTTTTTGCCTGCAGCGGCAGCACAAAGTGATAACATCACGGGCGTCTCACGGCGGAGAGTAAAATTCAAAATGTCGGCGGTATGGAAGTTTTATTTTTCGTTGGTGCGGATGTTGGATTCTGAAGATTTATGGACTACGTTGAGCCTCGCTACATCGTCTGCAGTCAGAGATATTTTTCCGACATAACGTTACCCGAGTTACAAGCCGTCATTTCCGACGTTGTTGAGAAGCTAATAGCCGATATCACGACTTATTGGGTGAGTTTTACCACAAATATTTGGACGTCGTGTTAGCCCCGTTAGCATGATTAGTCTTACGGCACAATGGATAGACAAAAACTTTGATCTTAAAAAGGCTGTCCTTCATGCACAGGAGTGCAGAGGATCCCACACTGCAGCTAGGAACCTGGAACAAGCCTCCACAAGTGAGACAGCATCGCAGGTGACTAACGCTAATAAATAACATTTAACACGTTTCATTTAATATAAGTTAAAGTGCTATGCATATCATATGGCTGTTACTGAATATATGTCACCAGCTCTTACAGCTGTTGCACAATTTTTGTAGCAAATAAGCCAATAAGAGGGCTATGTTCTGACAAAGGAACGTATATAAAATATCGGTATCGGCATCGGTTATCGGCCAAATGAGTTTTAACATATTGGCATATCGGATATCGGCCAAAAATCCAATATTGTGCATCCCTAATATTTAAGACATTTTTCAACTATGCACACAAGAGTATTTGCTAGGTCAATAAACATTTAATAAAAAGTTCTCTCACAACATAAAATGTGCAAGCAGACATCAATAAACAAAACAAACAAAACAAAACATTCATTCGTTCAACCTTTATTTAAACAGTTGAGTCACATTGAGCCTCAAATACTCATTTACAAGTGAAACCTGTTTGGACAGACAATAAAAAGTGGTGAAAAATAATACATAGGGTTTGACCTTTGTGTGAAGGTCAAAAATGTGATAATGAAAAAAAATCTTGTACACTGGCACATAATGATGCCGACATTATGCATGGGGGGGGGGGGGGGCAAGGGCGGTGAGCAGCCAGAGACAACACACAGAGGCACTTTAATCAGCTTTAATCAGTTGTATCTCTGCATCTTGTTTTACAAGTCAGGAACCTGAGCAAAAACAAATCTGGCAACGTTTTAAAAAAATTGACAACAAGTGGATGTTTACCATCCATTATCTTTTACCCGCTTCTTCCTTTCCGGGTCACAGAGGTCACTGGTGCCCATATCCAGCAGTCACTTTGTGAGAGGCTAGGGACACCCTGGACAGGTCTCCAGTCCATCACAGGGACACTAAGAGACAAATAAGACAAACAACCATTCACTCTCTCACTCACACCTAGGGATAATTTAAAGTTACCCATCAGCCTAACATGCATGTTTTTGGTCTGTGGGAGGAAACCGGAGTGCCCGGATAAAACTCACACATGCACGGAGAAAACATGCAAACTCCATTCCCCCAGCTGGGAATCGATCCAGCAACTTTCTCACTGAGAGACAGTAGCTCTACTAACTGCACCACAGAGCTATTTGTTAATAAATGCATATTGATCACTAACTTGTTTAAGCATTCTTATCAATCAAATGTGCCTTAACCACATATTTGAGTCCATGTGCATGTGTGAGATGAATCAATAATAATTGTTTATTTATAATAATAATAAATGTGTAATAATAAATGTTTCCAGCAAATGTTGCAGTTCCATCACCCCTATTTTATTATAGCCGACTCTGATGCATTTACTTTCATCAACAAGACGTACCCTGTTGGAAGGCGGACAAATATAGCTGTGTCAGGTACTTAGATGTGATGATTATATAATTCAGATATTTCTCCTCTTCAGTTCTTGTAAGATTCGCTCATTATCTAAACCTTTCCTTATTTTGTTTAGCACATATACCAGCTGGCTTTAGCTGAGGCAGGATGCAAGTTAACTCAAACAGTCACTCGTATCCACAGTGTTAACTAATTCAGAATGTAAAAGAGAAGCTTTTAGTTCAAACTTGATCTGAATGTTGTGACGTAAATGCAACAAATAAACACATCTGTCTGCTCCTAGTACTTTAAAAACACAGCACTGCCTGGGACGACCCTTGGCTGTTTTTCCTTGTTCATAATAAACATTTTTTATTAGTTCGCTTCACTGGTTTTAAGAACATAAGGACTTGGCATTTTAAAAACTGGTGAACACAATAAAATATTTTATGGGAGAAAATGCATGATTAGCTGTCCCTTACACAAGTTGTGAGCAAACATATATGTTTTGTTAAAACTAAATGTTATTTCTGCAAAACATTACATTCAATAATATGGATTTGTGTTAAGAAAAAGATAAACATACACATAGGAAAATAAAAACAACACAATTTAAGCATTTTGATATGACCAAGTGCTGAAACACAGACACTTTGGAGGGAATGTAAATGAAAGAGTGTAGCACCTAAAAACAGTGGCCCTTCAAAAGAAGAAACAGGCGGTGTTTCCATCATCGTCCTGTAATCTACACGTCAACAGAAGCAAGTTTCTGTCCAGCGAGGGACAATTTGTGAAAGATTTCATAAACCTTTCTCCCTGAACAACACCAGTGTCACTGGCTTATATTTAATTTGAGGGACGAGACTTGAACTTGTCACCGCCTGTGTGTTCAATTTATCCAACAAGTCAGAGATGCGACGTGACGGAATGGTCTCAGCTGCTGATTCACTGTGAAAGCTCGAGACGAGGATGTTTAAAGCAAAGGATTGGTCCATAATGTGGAGGAAACACAAAGAACTCACCGAATCAGAAAGACAAAGACGTAAAGAAATGTCTACAGTGTGCATTTTCAATGAATGACAAGGAGATATAATGTGAAATCATTGTGATAATCCCCGAGGGTAGTGCCGGCAAGAAAGCTGAGTTTAGGTGACACCTGTCAAAACCTGCGTGGATTTATTCATTTCAAATAGTAAAAAAGGGATATTTTTATGTCTTGGCCCTCCCAATGCAGCACATTTATCTGAATGTATTTAAGTTTGCTTCTGATAACTTTTAGAAATTATTTTCGGTACCACTTCACAATAGATGGCTAAAAAATAGTTTATAGATATGTTATTAATTCCTCTATAAACCCTTTATAAATCATTAATAACTGCTTATTATGCATTAAGGGTGAAAGAGATAAAACTGACCAGTTTGTTGCCAAATGGTAAGCCAAATCTGTTCACCTATACATTTCATCTAGAGTTGTTATATTAAACATTTCAGACTCATGCACAATAGGCATCTGTAAACCTATTTTTTTAGAATATTAGTTGTAGATACTTATAATGCAGTGCTTAAGTATTATATTATATGCTAAAAGTTTACAAATGCGTATCGTGCTTATAATGTTGTAACTTAGGCTGAAATGTTTAATATAACAACTCTAAATTAAATATATAGGTGGCAGATTTGGCAAAAAACTGGTCAGTTTTGTCTCTCTGTCACCCTTAATTAATGCATAATAAGCAGTTAATAACATATCTATAAACTATTTAATAGTCATCTATAAGGGGAGTCTTATTGTAAAGTGGTGTCTTATTTTCTGCTTATCTTATTTTCTGAAAAGGTGACAGCCTTGTGTATTTCAGCATGCAAACATTATCCTTACATGATTTAAAGGGAGAGAAAATATCATCTTGACATGAATAAACTGTGATGTAAAGGATAAAACGAGTTTTTGCTGTTACTGAAAAAGAAATCTTGACAATACAGCCTGCTTTTGTTACACTAAGACCTGCAAATCGGTGTAACACAAAACACTTATAATCCTTGGCAATGTAATAAAAACCTGCTATGAAGACACTGAAAAATAGTTTCGTATCCCGCGTTAAAAAGGTAAACAATCACGATGGTGTCATTTTTAAATCCCAAGCTAGTTTTTTTTTTACAAGCAAACTGTGAGCAAAACTTGCCAAACGTCACTTATTTGGGGTGTAAATTAAATATATATAGTCTTACATGAAAGAACAAACAAACAAGGTCATGTACTCTTTTGTTTTCATTGATTAAAAAGTCTAAAAAGTCGAATTACCTCCCGACGCCACTTTGACCAGCAGCGACCACCAAAGAAGAAGAAGACCTCCGAGCAGCAACTTCTTCTTCTTCGTTTCGTTCCCAGCAGACTCCATCTTTCTCGTCTCGGCGGAAACAGAAACGTTTAACGGACTGTGCGCTTACATTTTATGTATTTACAGCCGGGTTGTTACTTTTTCTTTTACATGCTCCGCTGCTGTTCGTCAGGCTAGAATGTCCAAACGGTGCAGCCGCGACTCGCGAGACCCTCACAGCAGCAAACTCCGCCTCGTGCGCGTACTTTAATTCAAAATTTTCAAAATAAGAGCTGGGAAAAGAATGTGGTGGAATTATGCAACTAGGGGGTGTGCACCCATTACAATTCAAACAACAATTTTACCATCTTTCCCGCTATTTAAAATGTGTATAGAGCCACACAGTTCACATGACTGTTAAAATTAGGGCAAACCGCTTTCATACAACTGTGAAAACTGTTGATATTCTGGTGGATTTATACACAAATGATGTTTTGTGGCAGAATGCCCCTTAAACAGAATAGTTAACAAAATATTAAGTCAACAATAAAATTGTATTTTAAACACATCTTAGTGAAAACTTCCGCCATATTTAGCTGGTTTTGGTACAGATATGATGTGAAGTTGTCTCTTTGGTAAATGAAGATCTTTGTCTCCATGAAGTAATTTTTGTCCCAGTCAATTTTAAATAGCCTATCCAACAAAGTGGCTTTATTTTTTATTTTGAAGTGGGATATTTATAGTATGGTAATTGTTCACAAATATGTATAGAAAAGGCTTTCATAAGACAGCATATTTCATTATTCAGATTTGATCAAAAGTCTGGTCTTTTTCTTTGTTCTAAAATGTAAAAATACCATTAATTACAATTTATTAGAGATATTTATTTTTATAATTGTAAAACTATGTTGTTTTTAATGTATATATGTAGTGATATTTTTATTTCAAGCTTCAAGTACATTTTGCAGCTCTGGGCAAGTTTTATATAAAAATGGTTGCAGAACTCTGAACTATGAGGTTATCTGATTTACACTAGTTTTTATTTTTATTACACACCCACCAAACCAAAAGTGAGTAAAAACATTCTTTAGAAATGTAACAATGTGGCTCACAAGTAACATAATTTTTGAAAAAGTGCACTTCTTTTCACTTTTACAGTGATGCAGTCAGACACTAATGACCAGAAACAGGCTCACCAGTCCCTGGTTTGGGGCCCAGAAATATAATAAAACATTGAAGAATGAGGCACAAATGGATCCATCAAGAAATGAACTTTAGAGAAGTGAACATAAAATGAATAAAACAGAAACTATTTTCTATTTTAGCTAAAGTTGATAGTATATTAATACTACACAAATTAACTATCAGAAAAAAGAAACTACACCTCATTTTGAAACAAAGTGAGTAAAATAAAGTGTAAAATACCAATAAAAGAAGCCTATAATAATTAAATGCACTGCACTTACAGTACCTTGCGAAAGTATCCGGCCCCCTTGAACTTGTCAACCTTTTGCTACATTTCAGGCTTCAAACATAAAGATATAAAATTTAATTTTTTTGTGAAGACTCAACAACAAGTGGGACACAATTGTGAAGTGGAATGAAATTTATTGGATGTGTCAAACTTTTTTAACAAATAAAAAACTGAAAAGTGGCGTGCAATATTATTCGGCCCCTTTACTTTCAGTGCAGCAAACTCACTCCAGAAGTTCAGTGAGGATCTATGAATGATCCAATGTTGTCCCAAATGACTGATGATGATAAATAGAATCCACCTGTGTGTAATCAAGTCTCTGTATAAATGCACCCGCTCTGTGATAATCTCAGGGTTCTGTTCAAAGCGCAGAGAGCATCATGAAGACCAAGGAACACACCAGGCAGGTCCGAGATACTGTTGTGGAGAAGTTTAAAGTCGGATTTGGATACAAAATGATTTCCCAAGCTTTAAACATCCCAAGGAGCACTGTGCAAGCAATCATATTGAAATGGAAGGAGTATCAAACTACTGCAAATCTACCAAGACCCGGCCTTCCCTCTAAACTTTCATCTCGAACAAGGAGAGGACTGATCAGAGATGCAGCCAAGAGGCCCATGATCACTCTGGATGAACTGCAGCGATCTACAGCTGAGGTGGGAGAGTCTGTCCATAGGACAACAATCAGTTGTACACTGCACAAATCTGGCCTTTATGGAAGAGTGGCAAGAAGAAAGTCATTTCTCAAAGATATCCATAAAAAGTGTTGTTTAAAGTTTGCAACAAGCACCTGGGAGACACCAAACATGTGGAAGAAGGTGCTCTGATCACATGAAACCAAAATCGAACTGTTTGGCCACAATGCAAAACGATATGTTTGGCGTAAAAGCAACACAGCTCAACACCCTGAACACACCATCCCCACTGTCAAACATGGTGGTGGCAGCATCATGGTTTGGACCTGCTTTTCATCAGCAGGGAGAGGGAATATGGTCAGAATTGATGGGAAGATGGATGGGGACAAATACAGGACCATTCTGGAAGAAAACCTGTTTGAGTCTGCAAGAGACCTGAGACTGGGACGGAGATTTATCTTCCAACAAGACAATGATCCAAAACTTAAAGCCAAATCTACAATGGACTGGTTCACAAATAAACGTATCCAGGTGTTGGAACGGCCAAGTCAAAGTCCAGACCTGAATCCAATCGAGAATCTGTGGAAAGAGCTGAAGACTGCTGTTCACAAACGCTCTCCATCCAACCTCACTGAGCTCCAGCTGTTTTGCAAAGAAGAATGGGCAGAATTTCAGTCTCTCCATGTGCAAAACTGATAGAGACAAACCCCAAGAGACTTGCAGCTGCAACTGCAGCAAAAGGCGGCGCTACAAAGTATTAACGCAAGGGGGCCAAATAATATTGCACGCCCCACTTTTCAGTTTTTTATTTGTTAAAAAAGTTTGACACATCCAATAAATTGCATTCCACTTCACGATTGTGTCCCACTTGTTGATTCTTCACAAAAAATAAAAATTTTATATCTTTATGTTTGAAGCCTGAAATGTGGCAAAAGGTTGAAAAGTTCAAGGGGGCTGAATACTTTCGCAAAGCACTGTATATAGCGCCTTTCTATCTTATCCAGACACTCAAAGCGCTTTACACTACAATCTGTGCCCTCATTTACCCATTCATACAGCACTCTACTATCAGAGCTTTATCACATTCATACACCGATGGGACACACATCGGAGGCAGTGAGGGGTTCAGTGTCTTGCCCAGGGACACTTTGGCATCTGACTGCTGGTGAATTTGAACCCCTAACTCTTGCATTGGAGGACGACTGCTCTAACCACTCAGCCACAGCTGCCAAAATAAGTGGCAATATATCAAAACAATCAACATAAGCAACATAACTTAAATGGGAAAATATTACAAAATATCCGGTGAGAATTTAGGACACATACATATTATTTACAGTTAGTGTCATTGTTACTCTGGGAAATAAAATTCCTCAGTAGGATAAGTGGGATTATTAATATGGCCATACAGGAGCAAAACATTTCACAATCCTACAGCAAATCTTTCAGTGAGGTCTAATTAAGTGCAGAAGAACACCTAGCCTTTAGGGTATAAATAGTTCAAATTAAACATCTTAGAGATAATGTTTTATAATTGTTCTGAACCACAGCAGCTGCACCTGAGATTTGAAGGAAATGTAGAGAAAGTGAAGACATATTATTAAAAATACCTTTAACAAGGCCTCCCAGTATTACTAATACTGTATACTGTCTTATAAACTATTCAAAGTATCATTTTACAATAGGTCTAGAGTGGTTTTGCTTGAGAAAACAAATTGGAACACTGCACTTCTCTTTAAAAATAAGTTGCCTTACAATCAGAGGTGTCATTTACGTATTTGAAGTTTATTTATTCCTGTGTCTGAGCAGGTTTCTTGATAAAACAATTAAGTAAAGATCGGCAGAAGTTCACCAGTCTGTAAAACTGAGTCTAAAAATAGTGGAATAATTTTGGGATAATGTTCCTCGATTAAAAATTGGGAGGAATTTGAATATCCCATCATGTAAAGTTCATAACATCAAAGGTTTTCAAGAATTTGGAGAAATCTGAGCTCAAAGAACAAGGACCAAAGTCAATATTATACACCCATGATCTTCAGGCCCTCAGGAGCCACTGCATTAAAACCGGGTCTGATTCTGTTCTGGACGTCACTGCATGGAGTCGGAAACACTCCCACAAACCACTGTCTGTGAACTTCACTGTTACATCCAGTAAAGCTCGTTAAAGCTCTATCATACAAAGCAGAAGCCATTTGTGAACTTGTTGGAGAAAGATATTCTTGCTTTATCTTACGTACTCAAAAGGAACCACACTCAACAGCAGATTTTTTTTTAACCTGTATTTAATTGTAAGGTCAGATTTTCAGGACAGTCTACATAAATATACAGAAAGTACACACATGACCAGTCATGAGAATCTGCCGCGAGCTGTCTGTGAAGCTTGTTTTTATACACTTATCAGTTCAGCCAAGCTCAGACTCGGAGGTGCCCATGGAGCCAGCTGCATGCTGTAGCCTCACCCAGCTTTCTACTAACCCAAGCATATGATTCATGGGCAGAGTTAACATTCTTAACCATAGAAGTTAAAAACATCCACATCCTTTGAACAAAAATTAACAGAACTCTATCCAGAAATATTCCATTATCGTCTTTGGATCAAAGCTCATTTAAAATGAACTGAAGTGGAAAAAACTTGTTTTCAGATTAATTAGAAATTTTATCAAAATTGGAAATTATTTTGGAAACCATGGATCCCATGTCCTCCATACCAAAGAGGGGATGGATCATCTCACCTGTTATCCGAACACAGTTTAAAAGCCTGCCTCTCTCATGGTATGAGGGTGCATTAGTGCCTCTGGCATGGGCAGTTTTACACATCTGAAAAGGCACCATCAATGCAGAAAAGTAGTTTTAGAACATGCTTCCATCCAATAATAAAAATATCCAGATAAAGAAGATAAAAAAGGTACAATTATTTAGTGTCAACATTTAACGTTTACCAGGTTTTATAGTGAATAAAATGTGAGATTTGT